ATCCATTTGCATTTACTCCTGGCACCAGCAAGGGTTTTGCCGGCCAGAGGACGGGTCCCACCCACCAAGGGGTCCTTTTGAACTTTGCAAGTTGCATCCAGACCACCAGAAGCAAGTGAAGGAAGGTCAAGCCGTCGATCCCGGACCTGTTAGAAATGGGTTGCCAGAGTTCAGCATTTAGACTCAAGAAGTATTTGTCATTGAATGTACCTTCATCAGTCTGTGTTCATCTTAAACAGCACTACATATAAAGGAGAACAAAGGATTCTGGGTCATACGAAAGGAGCTTCGCCCTGAAAACAAAAAGGAAGAAGGGGGGGCGAGGGTCAGGAGAAAGGAGAACAGGAAGGAAAAGAAGAAGAGGAAGAACCTGAGTCGTTCCCTATCAACAAAAGGCACCATCCTTTTATTGAAAATACACTCAACTGTTCTATGAATTAATTAATTGCTTAATTAATGCAGAAAAACCTGATTGTGTAGAACTTTTTCCTCTAAGGAAAAATCCAGCGTCTTCTCTCCCACCTTAAGCCCAGGTACACCAGCAGAAGTGGTGGGTTTCAGGGCTGAAGGGAAGCTCCCCTGGCCCTGAATTGATTTTGCGAAATCAACTTTTTGGGTGGTCAGAAGGGAGATGACAATGACGATGACAACGAAACCCTGTCACTTTCAAAATGCCACACTTGTCAAAACAAAGGTATTTTCTCAACTAATGTGAGAGGCCTTATCCTCCTCCCCTGTCACTCAGCACACTCTCCGGAGGGATAATGACAGAGATCACTTTTGCTTGCACATCCCATTCCAATTTGTCTCCTGTCTGGCTGTGATAAAAGCAAGCAAGAACACTAAACAACAGTGACTTCTTTGTGTGTGTGTGTGTGTGTGTGTGTGTGTGTGTGTGTGGTACGCAGACCTCTCACTGTTGTGGCCTCTCCCGTTGCGGAGCACAGGCTGCAGACGCGCAGGCTCAGTGGCCATGGCTCACGGGCCCAGCCACTCCGCGGCATGTGGGATCTTCCCAGACCGGGGCACGAACCCGTGTCCCCTGCATCGGCAGGCGGACTCTCAACCACTGCGCCACTAGGGAAGCCCCAACAGTGACTTTTAAAGACTCTTAGAAGAAGGCTTCTTCACCTGCAGTCCATGAACCCCCTAAGGAATCCACGGATAACGTCAAGATGTCTCTAAATCTCCTGAACTTACATGTAAAATTTCATATATCTGCATATACGTATTTTTTTTGGACTAGGGCATAGGACTTGAATCAGATTATCAATGGAGACAAAAAAATTAAAAACCATTACTTTCTAGTGTACGGCCCACTTTCTGGGCTAACCTTTCCCATGCAGCCTTCAGGGAAGGAAATGTTGGGAGCTGTATCTCTAGAGAAAGGGGAGATTATAATGAGCTGAGACCTCTTCTTGCAGAACTGACCAAGTTGGGCCTTGCGAGGTGCATACGACTTGCGCCAGTGGAGAGGAAGGGCAGGCATTTCAGGAGAGGGCTGGCATGAGCACAGGCACAGCACAGGTACATGAGGCATGTCTAGGCAATGGCAAATGGACCAGCTTGGATGCACTGGACGGACCACGTGGAGGAGCCCCAGGAAACAAGATGGAGAAAGAGGTGAGAACACCAGGCCCTAAGGAATACCTCAGCCTGGAGCAATACGGTGCCCTATTAGAGCTTTTTAGAGATATTAATCTAGTGGCGATGACTGGAATGGATCAGGGAAGTGGCTAAGCACGTAAAAGAGGCTAACACAGAAGCTTAGGTAAAAGAGAATACCCTAAAACTAGGGTGCCATGTCTGTTCTGTTCACCACTGTATCTATATCCAGTGTGGATCCCGGGGCCAGGCACAGGGTAGGTGGCTATCAACTCACCAGTGAGTAACTAAATATCCAGTGAGAGACCATATGGGCATGGATTCCTTAAAAGATATAATCCGAGAATGAAGAGTCTTGGTGACTTGGACATCCTCTGGGTATCATTCACTGAGCCCAGCAGCGCCTTGCACAGAGTAGATACCGAAGAAAGATCCTTTCAATTGGCCTAGACCAGGCTGAAGAGATACAGGGGACAAGAGTGGAGAATTCCAAGCACTGTCAGAGAGAGACTAGCGATGTGCTGGTTCTATGAACATGGACTGACCTCCTGGGGAGGTGGGTTTTAAAAAGAACCCAAGTCAAGGTGATGTAATGGGAAGAACCCTGTAATAGGCAAGGTGAAAGACCTCCGCTCCGGGCCTGTCCTCCAAATAAACATGGCTTTCTAGAGTGAATCCACGGCCCAGCTATCCATTTCTATGAGTCTATACTTTCTCTCAAATAACCTGGGCAAGACCCCCACGGCTATAACCCTTAACGCTTCCTTTCCTTGAACCCCAGTTGTTTCACAAACACATATCCTCATACCTCAGTGCACACAGGCAGGGCTCACGTGAGGACCAGACTGCAGTTCTGATTCAGGTCCAGTTGCTCTAAGTCTGTGGTCAGTCATCTGGGTAGCCTGTGGCCTTGGTAGTGTCACTATTCACAACTCATGATGTTACAACAAGAAATGGGAACCTCTGACAATATCGTTTACTTCTGTGTAAATTTAAATCATCCTTGTATCTACTCTGGCATATGCAGGGCAAAGCGTGACGCCGCTCTTTCATCCTGATGAGTGGAGACAGGGGTGGGGTGAGGCAAAGGGAAGCGGAGAGAAGGGCAGAATTTAATTTTACAGTGAGAGGTAAGAAAAAGAACAGGTAGCCCATGGGTCTTCTGTCCATCCAAAGGCATCTATTACCATTAAAGATCACATTTCCTTAAGTTACCTTCCAGTAAAAAAGAAATACAGAACTTGAACAAGTAAGCCAGATGACCAAAATATCCCCTTATTTCTTATTTTTCTTATAAGTAGCACCTGTTCATCAACTTGGAGAACACTTCAAACCTGGATAGCTTTAGAATGAAGCACAGAAAATTAAAGCCTTCCCAATCAAGAGTGCATCAGTCACCCACTCCACAGTGGGTTTTGTCTTGGTCATTTTGTTTCCATAACCAACTTTGGGAAAGTAAAACCTGGGTCTACTCTAGGGTTCCTGATCAAGTTACCCGTACAAAATGCTGAATACCCAGTCATGAGCTGTCAGGGAGTACCCAGGACTCCAGCAATGTCCATTCAAGTCCCTGCGGGAGGCTCCTGAAAAGAATGAATGAAGGTCTTACAGCTTCACTTTGAATGTTGGCTCTCCATGGACTTGCCCTCCAAGTAACACACAATAAAAAATATCTGTGACTTCTACACACTCATAACTTAATCATTCGTGGCTTGAAGATACAGCACACTTGGTGCTATACAGGAAGAATAAACTGTAGACAAAATTTCAAACACAACTCTTTCCAGCTGAGGGTGGGGAAAGGGGAACTCAGTCTTTGTGGAGATTGGTCCACAGTTTACCTGTTCACTACATTCACATTTTCAGGCCAGGAGCTTCCCTGTCACACAGAACTACCACCAGCTGGCCTTGCAACACACTAAGCTAGAGAGAGGAGAGGTGAACAGTCCAAATGATGCTGGAAACAAAACAGGCTTAACCATTCATACATCCTCCAACACATTCTTATTAGTCATCGGACAGTCCTCTCAAAAGATGAAGGGCTTTAATAAGATATTAACAACTGAGTTTTCTGTGGAATAAAAGTGTCTAGCTTAGGGTATTTCAGCATTTCTTCCCAGTTACATATGCCCTACACTGTTGCTTAAATGGTAAATAACCTCAAAAACTCTCCCCCTTTATTTCTTTGTGAATCCACAGCATTTTAGGACTATTTTGTCAAAACCATATTCAAAGAGAGTCTTTTTCAAGTAAAGTACGTGAACTTACCAGAAGACGCTGTCTTTTAAGAAGTTCCTCTTTAACCCCATAAGGAATAACCCTTCCCCAGTCAGTTGTGGTCAGAAGCCCAAATCCACAGCCATCACCCTAGGATCTTCAACCCATATTTCACTAGAAAATGTTCTAAGTCAACCAAAACTATGTCTTCAGAGATGGAGTGCCTCAGTCAACACAGTAACAGCAAGAGTTGAGGGGCTCTATGGGGAGGGAGAGAGAGGACGGGGAGGGGAGGAAAAATCCTTAAGAAACGTTAAGATTTTCCTCAGCGTCGCCTTCCCCTCGCCGGACAATGGCTGAGAACACCAGAAAAGTTGCGTTAATAAAACTGCATAGGGTCCACACTGCACAAAGTGCTCTGCTACCCGTTACAATGATCCTCTTCCTACTTCATCTTTCCAATACATCTCGCAAGGTTTGTTTTCAAAAAAGACATTACAAGTTGGCGAGCTTCTGCTTACAAAAATCAGTCAAATCCTTTCCCCTTCACCACTATTAAATCCATCTTATTCCTGAGCTTTATCCCCCCAAGTAAACCAAACGCAGGCAACTTAACACTCCAGAATCAACAAAGGACAAGGTTCCAGTGTGCGTTCAGGCAACGAAAGAAAGGCTTCTCTGCAAATGTACAGTAGAATTGAAGACTGTTTGTAGCTGTTGATGATCTGTAGAAACATTTCCAAGGTTCTTTGAACAAAAGATTTCGATTCAAGCAAGATCACAAAGAGGATGATGACAGAGTCCTAACTGTGCCTTGGTGTGTGTTCCATTGGCTCCGCTTGGGCGAGTGACTGTGGCCGCTGTTGCCTAGATGTGGAATTCCTTTGCCCTCCAATCTCCACACACACGAAGCACATTAAAGAATAAAATGTGTTTATGTCACACCTTTTCCGAGAGGTTTAAAGCGCCGTATGTTACCACATGAATCCTCACAACACCCCTGTGAGGTAGGTAGGCGGGGACTATTGTTACCCCCACTTTACAGGTGAGGGAAATGAGGCACACAAGAATTAAGGGACTTGCCCAGAATCATACAGCTAGCCACTGGCAGGGCTTAGGATAAAACTCATACTGGCTAGCACCTAGCACAGTGCTTTGCACATAGTAGGTGTTCACTGAATACCTATGGATTTTATTTGACTTATATCTCAACATACAATATACACACAGGAAATAACAAGCAGCCACCATAGAACATTTATCTCCTACATTCCTTCTGATGACATCTCTCCTGACTTTGAACCCTGCTGGATGAAGGATGTTCAAGAATCCATCTTGCACCTAAGCCCTCGGGTTGCAGGGGATCGATGTACACACCATCTGTGGACAACCTGCTCTTGCACCTGCTCTACCACACCATCTTAGTTTTCTAATGAAAACAAAAGTGGGTTTCAGGAACCATGCTGACTTTTTCTTCTGCCTGTTTGCTTTAAATGGAGCCATTGGAATGGTTCTGTGTCTTGTTTGTACAAAAAAGAAATAAGGCTGCTCTAGTCCAGTTAGCTTGTGAGAACTGTGTCAAGCACGAAGATCTCCTCCCAGCTCGGATGGACTTCTACCTGGGAAACTGGACTGACCCCAGGGAATGGCAGCTCCAACAGAGGAGGGTCAGCAGGGCTGAATGTCACTTGCACTGTTCATGGTCTGTGTAGTCATCCAAGTCCACATCAGAATCAAAGAGCGAGTGTCCAGTGAAATCCGTGTCTGGGGTTCTGGAAAAACTGTTCTCTGCCCCCTCATCTTCAAAGGTCTCTGTCCTTGAGTAAGAGCTGAAATCCAGCAGGGGCGTATGCGTTTTGCTGCCTTCACAGCTCTCCTCGGACTCATAGATGGTGTTGTCATCATCATGGTGCCACTCAGGCCAGAATTTCCTCCTTATCCTCTCACAGTACATGGCAAGATTGATCAGCTCACCTGCAGGGTGGTGAGGAAAGCGAGGGTTAGTTCTCAAGGCAACAATCTACCAGCCACTTGGCTTTCTGGGCAACTTAGAAGGATGGGGTAGAGTAGGCATTAACCATGTTTTTCCACAGAGGCACTGTCAAAATGTTTAGATTTTTATACACAGAAGGAGAAAGGTGAGTGGGAAGAGTTAAATTCAGTGAATGGGCTCAATGAAATTTCCGAGTGAGTCTGATGGTGAGAAGTGAGGGGGTAGCTTATCCAAAATGGCAGCTAAACTACCATCATTTGGCTTTGTGAAGTATTTTATCATTTTATGTTTGCATATCAAGAGAACTAGTGCTTCGACTGGTTCATATCGAAATTAATTTATAGTCCATGAAAACACACCAACTGTTAGTTGGATTAAGTCATCCAGAAGTGATCCTTCATTCCACAAATATTTGTAGTGTCATTATGGGCTGGTCAGTACGCCAACTAGTCGAAAAAAATTAGGTTAGGATGGAAATTTTGCCCTGAATCATCCATAATATAGGTAACTCAGAATTGTCTTTATGGATGAGCATGCCTGTAAACATATTTCATAAAACAGAGATTTTTTTATTTTTTAAATAAAATTCAACAGTGCACCCACGATTGGGTTCATTGGGCTTGGTCGTTGGTCTACTTCTTTTTCCTGTGAATCAAAGGAACATTTTTGTTAAGTTGCTAAAATTGTCCAGGCATTCATCTGAAATACGGCACGGTATGTGGCTTTCATTTCCTAATTCCAAATGAAAAATGTAGAAAGAGGGTGAGTTTTTGCTTTCGATCCACCAGATGGCAACACTCCTCATAAGTATATAATTTGTCACTGTCTCTTATAGGACTTTATTGCCCTAAGAATATTCTCTGGATGTTTTTTTTTTTTTAAGTTATATAAACATTCACTTGTTGTGTAGGTAGTCCATGTTTTATTGCAGGAAATTAGAAAATACAGATAAGCAAAAAATAAAAGAATTACCAATAATCCCATTGGCCATAACATTTTCATTTAAACTCTTCCTGAAATTTACATATTTATATATGCATTTACATATATTTACATTTGCTATATAGCATTTACTATATATTCTGTTTCCTATGCTACTTTCTTCACTTAGCAACATATAATGTAAACCTTTTAATTTCACTCCACAACCACCTTGATAATTGCATAGTACTTCATTATACAGATGTACCACAGTTTCATTTTGTTTTCTCCAATCCCCTATTATAGTCATTTAGGCTGTTTCTATATTAACAGCTCTAGTGGTTATAGCCTGTAACTACTCTATTTTATTTTCTACCAGAGAAAATAATATATGCTCATTTTGGAAAATTAGAAGTCTGTATATAGAAATGGTATAAATATACATAATACAGATATATATATATATATATATATATATATACATAAAGAAGAAAACAAAAGCACCTATAATCTCACCAATCCAAGGTAATCACAATTAACATTTTGGTGTGATTTCTTTCAGTATTTTTTTCTATTTATTTATTGTCATTGTTATCATTACCTGTCACTTCCTGTAACATTATAAGCTTTTTCCCACTAAAATTTTTCAAAACTTGATTGCTGTTCTGCTTAAATACATCCGTTACAAAACATAATAAGGCAAATCCCCCCGCTTCATGGATCCTGTAAACCAGTGGATTTGTATTGGTTCCAGGTCACCATTTTCAGTCTTCTCAGATCAAAATAGTTCAACTCACGCTATATGAGTCCATTCTGATTGCCCCCAACTCGAAGACTTTCTGTACGCGCTCGGAAGCTAAGAAGCCAACATCATTGCTCCTTTTTGGGCAGACGCACGCAAAACTTTCCCTTATTTTCTCCCTCAGGGAAGCAGTTAGGAAACACCTCACCAGGTATTGCTGGTAACCAAAAATTAGATAAAGACGCAGAAGCAGCAGCAAGGGGCCATTGGGGGCAGGGAATATCAAAGATGAATTGTGGTCACTTCACAGCAGGCCCTGGGGACAACCCTGTTTGCTTCAATCAGGTCCATTCCCAGAAAGTAAGAATCTAGTCACAATGTCCATGGAATCTACACAATATATGACTGTCTCTACTTCTTTTGTAGCCATTCTCTCTACAGCCTGTTTCTTTACCTTTCTTCCAGGAGAGCTGCCCTCTTCATGACTGTGTGACATTAGAACCCCTTTAGTCTGCAATAATAAAAATTAATAATAGCACACATGTATATAGGCCTTACTGTGTACCAGGCACTACTTGAAGTGCTTTATTTATTGTTGAATTATATTAACTCCCATCCCTAGTCCTGGCAACAATCCTATGAGGCAGGAGCTATTAATATCTCCATCTGTAATAGGAAAACTGAAGCAACAGAGAGGTTAATTAACTTGCCTAAGGTCACGTAACTATATAGTGGCTGAGCCAGGATTCAGACACAAGCAGTCTCCAGGCTCCATTCCCTTCACCATGACCGGACTCTGCCTCTCTCCTGATGAGCTGACAGCCTGGCCTGGGAATTAATAGCTTCCCACTACCTGTTACAGACTATTTTTCTGTAATTCCTTCTGGAGTCTCAAGAATTTTGAGGAGACAGGTGTTGTCACTGAAAGATAATGGGTCGTCATGAAGAAGAGATCCCTCTATCACACAGTGAAGAAAGGGTGCGCTTTTTGATAAGCAAGGGCTGCGAGCTCACATGCCCATCCTCATATCCTGCCCCTGATAAAAAGAGTGAAACAAAGAGTGAAAATTTACAGTTGAGTTCTCCGTTTATCTGGTTTTGCCAATCCTTGCTTGTTCCGAGATTCTCCACCAGCTGACCCACTCAATGTGCTACCAGCCAAAAAGAATGAAAAAAGTCAGCAGTAGAAACAGGCTATGTGTAATGTGTGTGTGTGTGTGTGTGTGTGTGTGAGAGAGAGAGAGAGAGAGAGAGAGAGAGATGCCCATGTTAACATAAATGCCTATACTGAAGATGTAAACTTTGTGAAATAATTTTTTTAAAACTGCAGGGTTTCTTTCAAAGTGTACTCAACAATCAGATAATGTCACCTATCAGACTGGTAAAAAAGTCTAATACCATCCAGTGTGGAGGGTCAGGCATTATACTACATGGCTAGTGGAAGTATAAATTGCTATAAGCTTTTTAGGAAAGTAATCTGATGTTATCTATTAAAATTTTAAATTCAGTTATCTGTTGGCTCAGGACTCCACTTTTAGTACTCTATTCTACTAAAATAAAATCATCAGTATGTAAAGATAGATGAGCATGGATGCCAAATGCAGTATTATGTCAATAAAAACAAAGAGAAAGAAAAGAAAGATGGAAACACCTGAATGTCCATCAGTAGGGATTGATTGAATAAATTCTGGTATATCAGTTCTATAGACTATTGGGCAACTGTTAAAAAGACATAATATTCTATTAAGTGAAAAAAACAAGTTATAAAGTAATGTGTATAATGCAATTCCACTGTTTAGTTTTAAATCAATAAAAACAAACAAACCAAAACAGCTATATACATGTATGTAAATTTGTATATGAAAAAAAAAAAAGGCACAGAAGGGTTCACTCCAAATCCTTAATATTAGTTTTCTATGGGAGTGACACTGGACATGGGTGAGTGGAAGGTAATAAATCTTTTAAAATACACCTGTTTAATTCAACTTATTGTGACAATATGTATTACCTTTTTAATTTAAAAATCCAATAAAATAAATTAGTAAAATGACTAATGAGTGATTACTGATATTCTCAGACAACTTGAGAGGATATTCATCAGAAAGCCAAATGGCCCTCTACCCCAAGGACACTCCCAGACAGAATAAAGAGCTTTTCTCTTGGAGTTTCTCAAATGGAAATATTCCCCATGGCTCTTTGAAAAAAGTGACTCCTTTTATTTTCCTATATTTCTCCAATTCCTCCCAGCACCACTGCCAGCCCTGGGTTCTTAATCAGCCAATATCTGGAAAACCTAGGGCTGGCGCTCACACACATTCTTTTGGTTTCCAGGTATTTACTCAGCACCTCCTGGCTCCACGCCTGTGGTAGGTGCTGGCTGTGTCCTTGGTTGCTCCCTATAACGCTGTGTCACACAGGCAGCAAGGACGCTGAACATTTCCTCTTCAGAAAAGTTCTTAGCAGGGCTTCCCTGGTGGTGCAGCGGTTAAGAATCCGCCTGCCAATTCAGGGGACGCAGGTTTGAGCCCTGGTCCGGGAAGATCCCACATGCCGTAGAGCAACTAAGCCCGTGCGCCACAAATACTGAGCCTGCGCTCTAGAGCCCGCGAGCCACAACTACTGAGCCCATGTGCCACAACTACTGAAGCCCACCAACCTAGCGCCTGTGCTCCGCAACGAAGAGCAGCCCCCACTTGCCACAACTAGAGAAAGCCCGCGTGCAGCAATGAAGACCCAACGCAGCCAAAAATAAATACGTAAATAAAATTTTTTAAAAATATTTTTTAAAAAAGTTCTTAGCAAACTTGAATGCGGTAATGAGGACACCCCCACCTTCCCCAGTCTCACTGAAGCTAGTTCACGGATCTCAGGATACAAAGACCAGCAAAGATCATTTGAGCCAGCCCTTCCCTGAGACCTGAATTCCCCCACAACCTCTTCCTAAACACTTTGAATGGAGAACAGTAAGAGTATGGGGTGGGCATATACGTGTATGTTTTTCAAAGATATCCAGCATTTTTTCCACCTTTTAATCTATCAAATAATAAGCCAAAAAAAAATAATCCACGTACAATAAATGATGGTAAACGAGCTGCTGAACAGTGTTTGTTTTTCTTAAAACACAGAAGGTTGCGTTCCTTACAAATTCAGAAAAGCAGTGTTAGGTTCTCTGGGTTTGGTACGGCTCTCCAGGGCAAGCAGCTGTGCAACAGAACCCGTTCCCTTTTGTGCTTTACTTTCACTTTTCTAGGCTCTCCAACTCTCCATGTCTATTTTAAAGAGTGCCAAATCCACATGCAATTCTCTAATAAGGATACTTTGATCAAAATATCAAATGTGGGCTTCCCTGGTGGCGCAGTGGTTGAGAGTCCGCCTGCCGATGCAGGGGACACGGGTTCGTGCCACGGTCCGGGAAGATCCCACATGCTGCAGAGCGGCTGGGCCCGTGAGCCATGGCCGCTGAGCCTGCGCATCCGGAGCCTGTGCTCCGCAACGGGAGAGGCCACAACAGTGAGAGGCCCACGTACCACAAAAAAAAAAAAATCAAATGTGACTCCACATTAAGAGGGTTGCTAAAAAAGACAAGAAATAACAAGTGTTGGTGAGGGTGTGGAGAAAAGGGAACCCTCGTGCACTGCTGGTGGGACTGTAAATTGGTGCAGCCACTATGGAAAACAGTATGGAGGTTACTCAAAAAACTAAAAATAAAATTACCATATGGTCCAGCAATTCCACTTCTGAGTATTTACTAAAGAAGACAATAACACTAATTCAAGAAGATACATGCATCCCTATGTTCCCTGCAGCATAATAGCCAGGATATGGAAGCAACCAAAGTGTCCATTGATAGATGAATGGATAAAGAAGATACACACACACACACACACACATACATACATACATAGTATGAAATATTATGCAGCCATAAAAAATGAAATCTTGCCATTTGTGACAACATGGATGTAACTTGAGGGTATTATGCTAGGTGAAATAAGTCAGACAGAGAAAGACAAATATCATAAGATTTCACTTATATGTGGAATCTAAAAAACAAACAAGCAGTGTATGTATAACTGACTCACTTTGCTGTACAGCAGAAACTAACACAGCATTGTAAATCAACTATAATAAAAAAACTATAATAAAAAACCTAGAAAAACAGCATTGTATATCAACTATAATTTAAAAAAATTTTTAATTAAAAAAAATCAAAACAAAACCAGACTCACAGATACAGAGAACAGACTGGTGGTTGTCAGAGGAGAGGGGAGGTCGGGGGGTGGGGACATGAATGGGGGAGGTTGAGAGGTACAAACCTGCAGTTATAAAGAGAATAGGTCATGGGGATGTAATGTACACCATGGGGAAATATAGTCAATAATATTGTATTAACTTTGTATGATGACAGTAACTAGACTTATTGTGGTGATCATTTCAAAATGGACATAGACATTGAATGTGGTACACCTGAAATTAATATAACACTGTATGTCAATTATATTTTAATTAAAAAAACTTGCTGATAATAAAACTGAGATTCGGGACTTCCCTGGTGGCACCGTGGTTAATACAGAATGTTAGTAAAAGTTATTTGAAACAACCCACAAGTCCAGAAAAAGATTAATCACATAAATTACAAGGTAGCCATGGGATAGGATATTATGCAACTACTAAATACACTGTTTTGAAGAATATTTAATGACAAGGGAAATGGCCATAATACATAGTTAATTAAAAACTGCAGGTTACGGACTTCCCTGGTGGCACAGTGGTTAAGAATCCGCCTGCCAATGCAGGGGACACGGGTTCGAGCCCTGGTCTGGGAGGATCCCACCTGCCGCGAAACAACTAAGGTTGTGCACCACAACTACTGAGCCTGTGCTCTAGAGCCCGTGAGCCACAACTACTGAGACTGCATGCCACAACTACTGAAGCCCGCACATCTAGAGCCCGTGCTCCGCAACAAGACAAGCCTCCGCAGTGAGACGCCCATGCACCGCAAGGAAGAGCAGCCCCCGCACGCCACAACTAGAGAAAGCCTGCGCAGAGCAATGAAGACCCAACGCAGCCAAATATAAATAAAATTTTTTTTTAAACTGCAGGTTATAACTATATCAACATAATGATCCCAACTTTTAAACATACATATATACATGTACTTGATAAAATATAAGGAAACATACCACAATATTGACGGATATTCTCTGCGGGTGATGGGGTCACAAGTTAATTTTATTTTTTTTAAACTTTTCTATCTTTTCTAAATTTTCTCTAGTAAGGAAATGACATTTCATATCATACACAAACATATTATGTACATTTTAAGAACTGCTGAGTATTCAAAGTCTGTCCTCCTACTCACCTAAATTAAGGAAAAGTTCTCATGATTCTGGATGTTTCCCGGAGTAGCCTGTGTGGCTAGATTATTTTAAATAATATCTAGGACCAAAAAGCTAATATTGATACACACACACTCACACAGATGGCAAGGACAATAGTGGCTTGGCTGTTCCAAAGCTAAGGCAGAAAACTGTCAGATCCAAGCCACTTCCACTCCTGGATGTGAGCCAGTTCTAAATTATCCAGACTCTTGGTTGTTTGTTTCTACTTCTCCTTTGAAGGTCTCCACCACAAAAAGAGCAAAGGCAGAGAAAGAAGTTGAGATCAAATCAGTAGTTTGCCTGCATTAGCAGCTCCGATCAAAAGGTTAGAAAGGGGCATAGAATAATGACTGAAATGAGCTTTAGAGGTTTGCTGTGGACTTGAATGATTTGTTCTCCTCCAGTCCCCATGGAGAGCTGGAAGCTACGGGCTTATTTTAAGGATCTGCATCTACGTGCCAAAGTGCCCTGCAGGTGACAGCATCAGATTCCCCCAAGTGTGTGCGTCTCCGCATGGGACTCAAAATCAATTCTCCAAAAGCACTGATCATTTCTTTAAAAAGAACACTAAATGCCTCAAGTCCCTCCAGGAAGTAATAGAGGAAAGGGCCAAGTCATAAATAAATTCACAAAAGATGCTTCATTTCTTCGAGAAGGGATTCTGTACAATCTGAGATTTCTACTGACACTGGATACCTAAATCTTTCTGACTAAACAACAGATGACCTCAATACACTTGACCCTTAAACAACATGGGGGTTAATTCACAAAGAACTTATAGTCTGTCCCCTGTATCCAAGGTTCCTCCGCATTCGTGGATTCAACCAAGATGGACTGTGTGGTACTGTAGTCATTACTACTGAAAAATAACCACGTGTAAGTGATTCATGCAGTACAAACCTGTGTTGAGTGTCAACTGTAGTGTGTGTGTGTGTGTGTGTGCACATAGGGTGTGTGTGTGAGTGTGTATGCATAGGGTGTGTGTGTGTATGTGCTTGGGTAGAAGTGTAAATGTATGTGTACAAGTGAGTGTGTACAGAGCATGTGGGTATAGAAGCATATGAGTAGATGTGAGTGTGTGTGTACTCATAGGTGTGTAAAGGTGGTGTGGTAGGGAAGGAGGGAGTACGAAGAAACAGGAAGCAAGAGTAAATACAAAACACACCCCTAGATGAACGAAAAGGAATCACTACCTTTTAGACCACCATGGAAAACCTGATTAAAATAAAGGGAAACTACTTTAAGTGCTACAAACATCACCAATATGACAACATATTCAATTTAGATAACTTCCAACACATCACAAGACAAGGAACACCTCCGTGCTGATCACTTAGGAAATTAAATATAAGTCCATACTATCCCTGTCCCCACCTAGTTATTGCTCTAAAAGATCTGCAGTCAATGCCTGATCCATTCCAACCAAGTCTGGTAACATATCTAGAGCCCCATCCCCACCAATCTGGAGAGTTACTCCTGCTGCCTTTAGCCTGTTCTGAATCTCTGGGCATGCACATGAGTATACACACACACACACACACCCTTATAGACTTCACCAACCTCCCCACCCACCCACCCACGACTACCACATATGACTGCTCACCTGCCTCAGTTTCTTGTATGATTCTCTCTTGCTTGGTTCCATCCATCCATCCATCCATCCGACATTAATTAAGAGTATTCTATATGTTATTCACTGGTGATCTCATGTCTCTCAGCTGGGGTATAAAAATCCTAACTCCTGTCAATCCCCTTCCCCAAATCGAAATATGGAACCTTGACGCCCACATTCCTAGGCCCCGGGCACTTGCTTAGGTACTGTTTAAAACCAGAGAGACTCAAAATGGTTCCCATTCATCAAGGCAGAGGAAGCCTCTCCCAGAGGCCCCAGCTGCCATGTATATCCCACCACCCCACTCCAATGCACACGCGTGCACGCACACACACACACATACACACATGAAGATCTGGTCCCTTGACATCAACCCAGGTTGAGCTGACTTTCCCTGCCCCACTGCCAATTTTACTCCTGGCAACCACCCCCATCCCTACCCCACACATATGTGCATCCTCTAGCTCCGGTCCCACTCATCCCACTTCGACCCCTCCAGTTTAGAACTGTAATTCTCATGGGCCTTACATCAAGATCACACAACAAAGATACCATTTCTTTGGTCAAAATGCACGTATAATAATATGAATAACAACGCCTCACATAGCACTAGACTTACAAAGTACTTGTTGACACTTTCCCCATTTTCCCACTATCTTGAACTTTCCAGCTCTACTACTCTCAGCGTATGATCTACAGACACCCCGCTGGAATAGGAGAAGGAGTGCTTTGAACTCAAATGACGCAGAATCATATGCACCTATACGCACGTGTGAAATATCTGAGACTAGTTCAGATTCAAAAGGAGCATGTGAGATGGGCAGCGAGCTCATCAGCCCCACCCGACCACGGCTGCCGCAGTGCTGGATAAACCAGAAACTGGTGAGCCACCACAGTCCAAAGGAAAGTAAGGGAGACCAACAAAACAAGGGCACGAGGGGGGATGCAAGCCCTGTTTCAGTGACAAGTATTAAGTCCACTACGTAAGGAGCTGGAAGAAGAGCCCTGGTGTAGAACGCGGCAGGATTTGTGTCAGCTTTGCAAAGAACATGGTCTGAGCGAGGTGGCAGGTGAGAAGCCGGGTCTCTCCTCGGCCTCCACATGTCCTGAGCACAGGAAACCGACCCTGGACCCAGACACCATGGCCTGGCGCCTCCATAAAGCACAGCCAAGCTCAGGGGCATTGGCCTAGAATTCTCCATTGTGCTGCTCCCACCCTCCACCCCCCGGCAACTCCCCAAACCTGAAGAGCTTTGTAGGGCTTGCCTTTTATCAGCCGCTCAGGTCTCGTCCCGGGTAAGGTCCACATTGCCTGTGCCAAGTGTCCAAAGACGGTGGCGTCTAGAGTGGAAAGCTTGGGCCCCATGATGTACTTCTTATCACCTGCAGCAGACAGAGCAGAGAGAGGTCACTGGGCCAGCCCTCACCGTCCCACTACGTCGCAACAGCATTCAGCACGCACCCATTATATGCCCGTTTAAGTGTGCATCAAAAGCTTTGCAAAACCAGGGCTTCCCTGGTGGCGCAGTGGATGGGAGTCCGCCTGCCGATGCGGGGGCCGCGGGTTCGTGCCCCGGTCCGGGGGGATCCCGCATGCCGCGGGGCGGCTGGGCCCGTGAGCCATGGCCGCTGGGCCTGCGCGTCCAGAGCCTGTGCTCCGCGGCGGGAGGGGCCGCAGCAGTGAGAGGCCCAAGTACCGCAAAAAAAAAAAAGGAAAAAAAAAGCTTTGCAAAACCAAATGCATGTACCCCCTTTGACTTATAACTAGAAACAAAAGTAAAGCAAATTAAACAATTCTGTGATATATCAACCCATACAACAGCAAAGCAGGGAAGTAACTGGAAACATATCAAGATACGTGGATGAGAGAGGGGGCTCCTGGGAAAAAGGGAGAATTGATCACCCCCAGACCTCCAGAGGCACCTCCTTGCCTCCAACCCTAGCCATTAAAGTTTGAGGTGCTTGAGAACACCTGGAAGTTTGCTTAAACCATCTCTAGTAACCCCAGCCAAGCACAGCCATCCTGAGCACTTACTTATTAAATTAATTCATTTCCTCGGGAAAAACAAGAAGCCTAAGCTACTTAGGAAGTTTGGAGGCAAGGCTTTCCATGATGTCTCCATGGTCTTGGCGAAGTTCTCACCACTGAGCACCAGCAGGAAACAAACATAAAGAGGAGCTTTAAAACTGCAGAGACCCAGCCCTGGGACCAGGCTCCCATACAGAGATGTCTCACATTGCCGCTCCCAGCTCTCCTTTTCTACCACGGCTGACCTAGTTCAGGCCTTATCACCTGGACTTATCACATCTTACCTACTACAATTGCCCCAGGTTGTCTCCAGGCCACTGTGTTGCAGGATAAAGAGGCAGCCCAGGTGGAAACGGATCCATCCTACTTCACATCCTGCCACCACTGTTATTCACTACGGAAAGCCTGGTCATTAACTAACCTCACAAAGCTTCAGCTTTCCCATCTGGAAAATGGGGATGCTATTAAGGGTATTTCTTAGGGCTACTGTGAGGATTAAATGACATAACACATGTAAAGCGCTTAGCGCCGTATCTGGTTAACTCATCAAACACCAGCACTCATGAGGAGAGACCCTCTGTTTCTCCGGTCCATTCCATATCCCACCCATACTTAAATCTCTAAGACACTCTTTTCACTGTAGCGCTCCCTTTCACAAAGACCTTCGGTGGTTTATGGGCGATGAAATACAGTCCAAACTCAACCTGGAATCCAAGGCTCATCGCGCTCTGTTCCCACCCATGTTCCAGCTTTGTCCCTCATCCTCCTTTACCCTAGCAGACCCAGAACAGCTCCATTCCCCAGCATGCTTCATGCTTCCCACTGCCACACCTCTGCCCCCCAAAACCCATATGTGCCCCCCACTTCTCTCCATCTGGTAGATTCTATCCATCTTTCCACCAGAAGCCTCCTTTCAAAGCCGTCTCAGGGCAATAGAAGCTTTCAGTTCAGACAGCCCTGTTTCAAATCTCACTTTTACACATATGACCCAGTTTCAGAGAGGAGAAAACAAGTTAAAGGAGAGCTACACTGGCTTCCTGGTCCCCCAGAATTTTGATTTCCTTAAAATGCTAAAAGGAAAGAGTCTAAGGGAAATGCCAGGGTAAACTGTGAATTCTGTTGTAGACTCCAAAGACTTTGCGGGGGCAAGAGGAAAAAAACGTACGTGAGTTTATAAAAACTTAGGAAATCGGGCTTCCCTGGTGGCGCAGTGGTTGAGAGTCCGCCTGCTGATGCAGGGGACACAGGTTCGTGCCCTGGTCCGGCAGGATGCCACATGCCACGGAGCGGCTGGGCCCGTGAGCCATGGCTGCTGAGCCTGCGCGTCCGGAGCCTGTGCTCCGTGGCGGGAGAGGCCACAACAGTGAGAGGCCCGCGTACCGCAAAAAAATAAACTTAGGAAATCTAAAAATAGAGCACTTAAGACCTTGATAAAAGGGAAAAAATACTAAATATAATCATTTGGATGCATACATCAACTAACGCATATAGTGTTCAGCCCAAATTTGCCACTTGGCTCAGAATGTTAAACCTGGAAGGACACTGAGTCAGTAACAGAACCAGACTAAAAATGCTGGCACCCGGGCCTCCTGACTCCCAGCCTGATGCTCTCTGCTCTGTACAATATGCCGTGAGGAGAACCACCTCAGAGATAAAGACCCTCCATGCAACAAGCAAGAGGGTTGAGCTGTGGACGTTTACAAAAGGATGCTTTAGTCAGGAGGGAACACAGAAAACAGAAGGAAAAAAAGAACAAAAGTCTAAGGGTTTTTAAAGGAACTTGCCAAAAAAAAAAAAAAAAAGGATAGAATTTAGCCTTCATGGTAGATACACAATTATATGTACATATACACACAAGACAGTTATAAATTTAAAGAATATAAAAATACCCTCTGTTACTAAGAAATCCTCCAGTCTTTCTGTATACCCTTCAATCAGCTTCTGCTAAGATTAACGTCTTAGGTAATCACACTACGTTTACCAAAACTAAAAAATTAACATCAATATAATACAATTAACTGCACTATAGGCTTCATTCAAATTTTATTAGTTTTTCAACTAGTATCCTTTTCTGTTCCAGGGTACCAGCTAGGATCCCACACTGCATTTAGTTATCAGATTGCCTTAGTCTCCTCTAATCTCCTCAGGCTTGCCTTGTCTTTCACAGCCTTGACACTTTTATTAAAGAATACTGGTCAGTTATTTTGTAAAATTTTCACCAACTTGGGTTTGTCTAAGGTGGTTAATAATTAGAGTAGTCATGCATTTTTATGAACCCTTCTGTGATGGTTATTTTATGTGCCAACCTGACTGGACTACGGGTGCTAAGTTATGTGGTCAAACATTATTCTGGGTGTTTCTATGAGGGTGTTTGGGATGAGATTAACATTTAAGTGGTAGACTGAGTAAAGCAGAATGCTCTCCCTAATGTGGGTGGGCCTCGTCCCATTAGATGAAGGCCTTATTGGACAATAGGGCTGACTCTCCCTGGAGTAAGAGAGAATTCCTCCTGCCTGACTGCCTCTGCACTGGGACACGGGCTTTTTCTTGCCTTCAGACTTAAATGGAAACATTGGCTCTTTCTTGGTCTTAAGCCAGTTCATACTGGAACTACACCATCAGCCCTCCCAGGTCTCCACCCTGCCAACCCACCCTGAAGATCTTGGGACTTGTCAGCCTCCATAGTTGTATGAGTCAATATAACTTTATTATAGAAGAGAAATAGACATGGATAGATCTAGATATCTATATCTAGATCTCCTATTGGCTTGTTTCTCTGGAGAACCCTAATACCCCTTCTCGGGGCATCATTTCAGGGGGTCCACAATGTCCATATGTCCATATCACTGGGGATGTTAACCTTGACCATGCGGTGAAGGTGGTGTCTATAAGGTTTCTTCACTGTAATGTCACTATTTTTCCTTTTGCAATTAATAGCCTTGGGAGAGAAACTTTGAGACTGTATAAATATCCTGTTTCTCCTCAAACTTTGGCCCACTAATTTTAGCATCCATCAGTAGATGTCATCTGAAACAATTATTACTGTGGTGTTTGCCTAATCAGGATTTTCTATTTCTCTCAATCCTTCTACATGTATTGATCCAAATACTACTGCTCCCTTCATCCCCCATTTACTGACATATTCCATTATTTATTTAAGTGTGCACTTGTCGATATATATTTTATTCTATGGCCTATAATCCAGTACTCTCATTATTCTTTTTGCTGTTCAAATTGTTCCGGATTTGGCCTTTTGAGCTTGGCAGGAAGTATTTTTAAGAGGGAGACTGAATTTAGATTAGACTCTGCTTAGAGATGAAGAGGACAAGCCCAAGTCTCAAGTCTGCAGCACGCCCAGGCTTCACCAAGTGAGCCCATTTTTCATTAGTGGAGGGTGTTAGCAAAAGCAAAACATTACGGGCACTTCTGAAGGGCACTGAAGGAGCAGGCTTGGGTGACGAGGCAACTCAAGCCTCATTTTCAGTAGGTAAACCACCCCCCCAGTTTCTGTAGAGATGGACAGAAGGAGCTGAGGGATATCTGAGCACCTGTAACTCCCTGCCAGCCCCCAGATTTGGTGTGTGGACCATGAACCATTGGTGAGAGCAAATAAAGATTGAAAATATCAGAAACACTGGGAGGTGAGGGACCCAGGGTACATGGGACTCCCTAAGGGATGAGGAGAGGACAAATAGAGAGCAACATGGATCTTAAAAGTCCCACCAGAGGGAGGGACCGCAAAACAGAGCAAATGAGGAAGCACTCCTGGTCTAGGCTGTTTGCCTCCTGTCTGCCTCTCAGCCTCTTCCTCGGGGAGGATGCATGAGAGCTGCCAGCAGATAGGTCTCTCCAGGCCCTGGCAGGACAAGACAAGGTCTACCTCATATGAGAGCTCTACTTCAGTCAAATATGCCGGGAGCTCATCCCATCACCATTCTTCATCCCATCCTTCCTGTCTCACATAACCTCCACTCGTCTAACCCAACCCTTCCCTTATGACTCAGATCAAGTTCTCCCTCCTCCAGTCCAGGAAGGCTACCTGCACTGTCCACTCCCCTAGCACCTCTCATTGCCCACTCCCCTGCCAAACCCCAGAGGGACAACTGCTTAGAGCAGGGCTGCTCAAAGGATAGCCTGATGCCAGCATCAGCATCACACACGCTCAGGTCCCATCTACTGAATCAGAATGACTGGGAGTGAGACTGGGAGAAAATCTGTGTTTCAACAAGCTTCCAGGTCAGTGTTTCTTAAACTTTAGAGGCATAAAAATTCCCTGGAGAGCCTGCAGTTCTTAGACCACACTTTGAATAGAGCTGTTCCAGATGATTCTTATGCACACTAAAGTTTGAGAACC